TTAGGTAGGAGTAACATCTGCACATTCAAGCTATAAGTATGTTTCTTTTCAAAAGCAGAGATAATTTTTTAAATGTGGTCTATATTATTCAAAAAACATTTATCAGATTTTCAGAGCAGGATATTTTGGAAGACACAATAATCTAATGTTGAACATGAATGCATATTGTATTCAGTTGTTACCTTTCAAGTTACATACCAAGGGGAATATATTTAATATTGAGAAAGATGAAATTTTGCATCAATACTATCATGTTGAATTGCTTCCCACTAAAGAAAACCCTTAATCACAGATATATAATTTTATTATTTTCATTAAAGTAGAATTACCATACCTAGTAAAACAGTGAAATAAAGCAAATCATGGAGGTCAATTCAATCCGATGTACATTTTAAGGTATTTTTAATGAAAATTTTCATACATTTTATATTTATCACAATATGCACCCCATGGAAGAGAAACAAATATTATGTTCTTGGATTCCTGGCCTAATGCATGTTTATTCTACCGTGTTCAGCATTGCTTCCTTTCAATAAATGATTGTGGTGTATTAATAGCATCAAAAATAAGGGTCTTAGAATACAAGAAAAACCTGCTCGTTAATGCAGATTGGAAATTTGGAGAGGGTAAGCACTGTATCATAGTAGGCTTCTGTAGAATACTCTTCTGTGCACTCATTTATTGATCTTGCTAGATTTTGCTTACCACCTCTAGCTACTAGAAGGGAATAGTTACATTCTGATAAGAATTCATGAATTTGATCAAATTCCTTGCTAATTTGTTTCCTGCATGAAATGTGACATTTCAATACAACATGGTCTTAGCTCAGCAGATCCCTCAAAAGCAGGTTGAAGATGAAGTGTTCATTATTTTGAATGGGGTTCTCTAGGCTTGGGAATAGCAATAAAAACTGATCACATTTTATGCAACATTTCACCTTGCATTCCACAAGACTTCTGCAGTGCAACTATTCAGGAGAGGGGAATTGCCTTGAAGCAATTTTAGTCTGTGTGAAATTTGAATTACAGGAGGGTTAGTTGGCAATTGGATATATCTTGGAAAGTATCAGTTAATTAATTGGGAACAGAACTAGCTCTATTTGGATTGGTCCACCTCATTGGTCCTTGTATTATGTGAATCAGGCACTCCACTACATATTTATTTAGATTCATTTGTTGATGGCACCTTTATTTGAATGCCCGCTTCAGGGAATTATTTGGCTTTTGTACTATTTGCATAGTCACTTATTTCTGTGTTAGTTGAATGTATGTTTTATTCTGAGAGTATGTAGGCAGCTAATAGATACTTTTGTCTTAGTTCTTTGTTGCAGATATATGTTCTCTGATTTTTTGATATAGTTGACATTCTGTCTATTAAGGGTAGCTACAACTTGGGCAGTTTCTTCTATAAATAATGCTGATTCTTCTTTCTCAGTGGTTGATCTATGGTTGAAGATGATACACAACTATCCTTCCAATTGACAATCTTGAAAAGCTGAGAACAAGGAACCTGTCAGAACACATATCTATCAGATTTCATACTTCCCTTGCTCTTCTCTCATATTTCATACTTTTCTTGCTCTCTCTCTCCCAAATTCCATTCTCTTCTCTCCTTGGGTTCTGCCATACTCCTAGAGGGGAGGGGGGAAGAATCGCGGGTTTATTGCCTTAGCTTCCTCTATCGCTATAATGTAACACTTCGCTTTCCTGCATTCTTTCTCTATTGCTATAATGTAACACTTTGCTTTCCCTGCACTATTTCTCTCTGTATTTCTTCTCCCTAAACTGTCAGCTAGCAAAGGGGGAGGAAGAAAGAAATACAGGGAGACCACTGTGCCGCAGACTGCCGGTTGTGAATCCCTAGGTGTGAAGTGGGGTCATGGGAGGCAGCAGGGCGTGCTGATTGTATACCTGGCTCCCCGCTATGTATCAGCAGCCCTACCCGAGCTTCTCAGTGTGATAGCCGAGATGGCGATTGAGACCGCCAGACTGTTAGTCATGGGGGATTTCAATCTGCCATCATTAGGTGAAGCATCTGAGGTGGCTCGGGAGTTCATGGCATCCATGATGGCCATGGACCTGACCCAATTAGTAGATGTCCCTACCCACACCGGAGGACACACACTGGACTTAGTTTTTGACTCCGGACAGTGGTTGAGTAATCGTGGTTTAGGGGAAATAGTTGTTGAGCCCCTGTCATGGTCAGATCACTCTCTCCTTCGGCTGGCCTTTCCTACCGCTACGCCCCACCGCGGGGAGGCGGAACCAGAAGTGATGAAATGGTTCCGCCCCAGGCGCCTGATGGACCCTGAGAGGTTCCAGACGGAGCTTGGGCCAATACCTGAGACCTTGACCCGCGGCTCGACTGAGGACCTGGTGGCTGCCTGGAATGGTGCGGCCGCGGGGGCCCTGGACTGGGTCGTGCCTTTGCGGCCCCTCACCCGATGCTGGTCTACCTTGGCTCCTTGGTTCTCCGAGGAGCTGAGGGTGATGAAGCGTCAGAAGAGATGCCTAGAGAGTAATTGGAGGGCCACCCGCTCCGAATCCGATCGGAAATTGGTAAAGTCCCATTTAAGGACTTACCTAGTAGCGATAAGAGCGGCGAAATGAAACTATTTCTCCGCTCTTATCGCATCTGCAGGTAACCAATCTGCCGCCCTGTTTAGGGTGTCCCGCTCCCTCCTTCATCAGAGGGTGCGGGATGTCCCTTTGCAGGGTCGGGCAGAGGAATTTGGGTGTTACCTGCATGACAAAATCGATCGGATCCGGGCTGGGGTAGCCTCCGATTGGACTAGTTCAGGCGGGCCAATGGAGGCAGGTCTTGAGTCCATTTTGTGGGAAGAGTTTGATCCTGTGACCCCCGAGGACATGGACAGGATGTTGGGATGGCTGAACACCACCACATGTTTACTGGACCCGTGTCCCTCCTGGCTGGTACTGGCCTCCCGGGAGGTTACACGAGGCTGGCTCGTAGGGAATCGTCAATGCTTCTTTGAGTGAGGGGTTCTTGCCGGCCGCCTTGAAAGAGGCAGTGGTGAGGCCCCTCCTCAAGAAGCCCTCCCTGGACCCGCGACAAAACCGGTTGATGGCAGGACAGAGGTTGGAAGCGAAAGAACGCTTCCAACAACTCTCACACCACCGTGCTGTCGAGGGAGTCGTGGACCTTCTTTGACAGATAGATCTGACGCGCCAGTCCGGCTTCCGGCCTGGGCACAGCACGGAAACGGCATTGGTCGCATTGGTTGATGATCTCTGGAGGGCTCGGGATAAAGGCTGCTCCTCTATCCTGGTCCTGTTAGATCTCTCAGCGGCTTTCAATACCATCGACCATGGTATCTTGTTGCACCAGTTAGAGGGGTTGGGTTTGGGGGGCACCGTCTTACGGTGGTTCTCCTCCTACCTCTTGGACCGGTCGCAATTTGTGTTGGCAGGGGGGCAGAGGTCGATCTCAAGGCGCCTCACTTGTGGGGTACCACAGGGGTCGGTCCTCTCGCCTCTCCTGTTCAACATTTATATGAAGCCACTGGGTGAGATCATCCGTGGTTTCGGGGTGGAGTTTCATCAGTACGCAGATGACACCCAGCTGTACATCTCCACCCCGGACCACCCCAACAATGCCGTGGAAGTGATGTCCCGGTGCCTGGAGGCCGTGCGAGTCTGGATGGGGAGGAACAGGCTTCAACTCAACCCGTCCAAGACCGAGTGGCTGTGGTTTCCGGCATCACGTCATAGCCAGTTGGTTCCATCTCTGGCTATCGGGGGCGAGTCATTAGCTCCCGCGGAGAGGGCCCGCAACCTGGGCGTCCTCCTGGATGCTCGGCTGTCTTTAGACGATCATGTGACAGCCGTGGCCAGGGGGGCTTTTCATCAGGTTTGCCTGATACACCAGTTGCGCCCCTTTCTGGATCATGACGCTCTACGCACGGTCACTCAAGCCCTCGTTGTTTCCCGCCTGGACTATTGCAATGCTCTCTACATGGGGCTCCCCTTGAGGTGCACCTGGAGGCTCCAGCTAGTTGTCTTACGCCGGCGCGCCCCCTAGGACCCCCGGAGATCTATGAGGGTACATTGTGGAGAGGACGCGCTCGACGTGACCGACGGACACCGGTTCCGGGTGCGCTTCAAGGTGTTAGTAACAACCTTTAAAGCGCTCCATGGCAATGGACCTAGGTATTTGCAAGACCGCCTCCTACCAAACACCTCCCTTCGACCAGTCCACTCCCACAGAGAGGGCCTCCTTAGGGTGCCGTCGGCCAGACAATGCCGGTTGGTGACCCCCAGGGGGAGAGCCTTCTCTATGGCAGCTCCTGCCCTCTGGAATGACCTACCCCCCGACCTACGTACAGTTGCGGACCTGCGCCTTTTTCGCCGAGCCCTGAAGGCCCATCTATTCCGTGCGGCCGGCCTGGTGTAGTTTGATTATGTTTTAGTGGAGGTTTTGCATGGGGTATTTTTAGAGCAGGCCTGTTATTTAATTTGATTTTAGAATAGAAATTTGTGTATATTTATCGTGGTTTTTATTATTGCCTGTTCACCGCCCGAGTCCCGTAAGGGAGATAGGGCGGTATATAAATTCAATAAATAATAATAATAATAATAATAACCTCCGGAGCCTGGCTTATCTCTCCGTTCTCAAGAGAAGGTGCGAAGAGTCATCTAAACATCGCTGCCTTGACCAGAGCTGGCCCGATGTTATCTCCCCTTTTCCATGATGGACTTAAAACCTGGGGATTGGCCTGTTTGAACCATCCAGATGAACTATGGGGTGGGGTTTGCTTGGGGACACTTTAACCTATTGATCTGTATGGGAGCCCCTCAGATCCTGTCTAGTATGCTTGCTATCAGCTTCTCCCAATAAAAGTTCCTTTTAGAAGAGCTTGCTTCCATGAGTTCTGCTTTCTTGGGATGAGGTATTGAAGCGGGTCCTGACATTAGACAGGATCTGCAATAGTAGTCAACCCAGAAGGATGGACCTTGCTGGGGGACTTTGCAAAGTCTACCATGTTGGACACTGGTGTGGAGAAGGAAGATGCCAGCGCAAAGGGGGAGCCCTCCCTCCAGTTGGAACCCTGCCAACTGTCCGGCTCCGAGACGTCCTACACATCAGAGGAAGAGGTGGTGGAGACACACAGCCATAAGCCTCGCTGGTCCATGGGCGTAGGCAAGAAGGACGAGTGGGAGAAAAAATTGAGAAAGGTGAGGCAGCCACCAACTAGGATGGAAGCAAGAGATGGAGAGATCACTGCGCCTCAGTGAACATGAGAACGATCACGGGGAGCAGTTGAACTGGATCCTGGAGAAGGTGATCGACCTGATGAAATCAACCCACATCTCTCTCAAAGATGAAAAGCCCGAACCCTGCAGCCGCACTGTTACCTTGGACTGCAGCAAAGTAAACACCAAGGGGGAATCTGAAGCCGAAGCCCCAGGAACATCAGGCAGAGCAGCCGGAGCAGCCGAGACCACAGCCGGAGCAGCGACAGTCCCCACACCACATGGTAGCTGCTGATCAGGATGGATGACACCACAGACGACGACATAGGCATCGATCCATCTGGATGTTCCTGCCGCTGGACGTGAAGTTTCGGGGGGAGCTGCAGCGCATGGGGTTCTTCTTAATCCAAATCCTCAACTACATGGAAGAATACAGCTGAGACATCCCTACTGACAAGGCTTGGATCCGCATCATACAGGTGGCCCTGGACGGCATGGCAGCTAACTGGGTGGTGGACCTACATGACTCTGATGCCCCCGAGCTCCAGAACTTCAACCAATTCATGTTCTCCCTTAGACGACAGTTTGAGGACCCGTTGGCAAACTGGAAGGCCCGTAAGATGATTAAGACGGTGAAGCAAGGCAGGCGCCCAGTGGCCAAGTACACCCAGGAGTTCTGAGCCATTGCTAGCAAGCTGAATTGGCCAGAAGATATCCTGCTTAGCCATTTCAAGGATGGGCTGAATTACGACTTCTACGATGCCTGCCTTCCCCAGGGAGACCCACACCGATTACATGACTGGTACATCTTGGCAGAGGAAGCCGAGATTGACCTGCTCAAGAGACATCGCAGAGGGAAACCATGGAAATGATCACCCCCTGAGCTGTCATGTGAGCCTGCAAAGCCTCAGCCCATGGCTAAGACCACCGGCTGCTTCAAGCACGGGAAAGAGGGACATTGCACCGCAGAATGCCGCTTGAGGAACCCCCAGCAGAAGGCCGATAGGACGCCAGCCAGGAAGTTGGGAAGGTCACCCGCCAAGCCGTGAGAAACAGCCATGAGAGGCACTGAGGCCGTCGAGTCCCCCCCTCCGCCCAACGGGGGAAAGGAACTCCAGCCTACACTGTGGGAGCATCCGACTCGTCAGATGACAACTCTGAAGATGAACCCCTGGTAAGTGGACCCATTGTGGCCCTCACCCACACAGTGACTATCCTAGCCCCCTGCATGCCTGAAGCTGTAAAAGTTAAAGCCCTACTAGACTCTGGCTGCATGTGTTGCCTTATTAGCCCAACATTGGTGGGAACCCTGGGCATTCCGGTGAGGAGGCTGAAGAAACCTATATCCTTCGGTCAATTAGATGGGTCCATAGCAGGGGGAATGCCAGCAACTCTAGTCATACTACCAATTCACCTTACCCTGGGGAGACTATAAGGAGACTATAACGTTCGTGGTGACCCCAGGCATGGAATGCCCAATAATACTGGGGTTGGCGTGGCTAACAAAATGGAATCCTCAAGTAGACTGGAGGACAGCAGAACTCAGGTTCCCAAAAGGGGATCGAATGGGACTGCCACTCCGGGGAGTTCCCGAGAGTTCCCCTCTTGAAAAAGCAGCAGTGGGGGAGGAAAAAGCATTGCCCGAGATACCCAAGGAGTACAAGGATCTTGCTGAAGTCTTCAGCAAGGAGCGGGTGGACGAGCTACCCCCCACCGACCCACAGACTGTACGATAGAAATCAAGCTGGGAGCAAAGCTCCCAAAGCCTAGACTGTACTCCATGAGCCCCGAGGAGCTACGAGAGATGAAAAAATTTGGAGATAAGAATTTGAAGAGAGGATTTATTGAGCCAGCTTCCCCAAAGAAGGTAGCAGCCCCAGTCCTATTCAAGGAAAACAAAAACGGCACATTGCGTATGTGCGTGGATTATTGCACCTTGAATGCCATAAGTGAAAGCAACCTGTATCCTCTCCCCCTCATGAAAGACATGCTGTCCCATCTATCGAAGGGCAAAATCTTCACAAAACTGGACCTAAGGGAAGCCTACTATCATGTTAGAATTAAGGAGGGGGACGAGTGGAAGACCATGTTCAACTGCCCTATGGGATGCTACCAATTTAAGGTCCTGCAGTTGATCAATGAGGAACTGAGGGAGCACTTATACAAAGGGGTACTTGTCTACCTGGACAACATCCTTATATTTACAGAGACTAAAGAGGAGCACATAAAATTAGAGCAGTTTTGAAAAAACTGAGAGCAGCCAACCTCTATGCAAAATTGTCAAAGTGCGAGTTTCACAAACAGAGAATTGACTATCTGGGCTAACACATATCAACTGAAGGCATAGAGATGGACCCCGAGAAGGTCCGGGCAGTGCTGGAGTGGGTGCCACCACGCACGAGAAAGCAACTACAAAGCTTACTGGGGTTCGCTAACTTCTACCGTCAGGTCATCCCTTCTTTTGCCCAGATAGCCCTGCCTTTCACAAACTTATTAAAGACAAAAGGGACACACTTGGTAAAACCTAGACAGCCACTAACCTGGACGATAAAATGTCAAGTCACATTCGAAAGATTAAAAAAAATTTTATCGGCTGAACCGGTCCCTAAAACACCCCACCCAGATAAGCCGTTCGTAATCCAAGCCGATGCAAGTGACGTAGCAGTAGGACCAGTATTGCTACAGGAAAATGACAAGGGGCAGCTGCAACCCTATGCCTACATGTCCAGAAAACTCTCTGACACGGACCAACGTTGGGCGGTGTGGGAAAAAGAGGCGTACGCTGTGAGGTGGGCCCTCCTCACCTGGTGGCACTTGCTAGAAGGGAATAAAATCCCATTCCAGGTCTGGACAGACCATAAGAACTTGGAAGCCCTAAAAACACCCAGAAAATTCACCCCCAAACAAGCCCGGTGGTCACAACACTTCCCCCATTTTACATTCAAAATCAAACACTTACCAGGGGGGAGGAATTTCCTGGCAGACGCCCTATCCCACATGCCCCAATACAATAGCTCCCGGCCAACCATCTCCAAGCCACTCATGCTGGAAGCGCAGCTGGCAGTACAAGTAACCACAAGATCTGAGGCAAAACTAAAGCAGCCGATACCCAGCCAAGCAGGGATCCAATTCAGGAAGGCTCTAGAAACCGATGAATGGTTCCAGAGCCACAAAAACTTGTGCACTATCACTGATGGCTTGCCATGGGTGGGGGAGAAGCTGTACATCCCAAAAACGAAACCAGCGGGTCACTTTGGGTTCATGAAAACGCTGCATCTAGTAAAAAGACAGTTCTGGTGACCATCTATGAAAAAGGACATTGAGAGCTATGTGGCCAGCTGTCCAACCTGTGCAGCTAAGAGACTGCAAGGGAAAGCCCCCAGACTGTTACAGCCAGTGGCAAGCCCCTCAGCCCCCTGGAGGGAAATCTCCATGGACTTATTACTGGAACTACCAGAGAGCAATGGAAACACAGCGATCTGGATGGTCACAGACTTATTCTCAAAACAAGTACACTTCATCCCTTGTCCAAAAATCCCCACTGCTAAAGCCTTAGCAAAACTGTTTGACCAGCACATATATAGACTGCATGGGGCATCTCAGCACATAATATCGGACAGGGGGGTGCAATTCACATCGGACTTTTGGAAAGAGTTCTTATCCCTTCCGGAGACCACCCAGGGGCTGTCATCTAGTCATCATTCTCAGATGAATGGGGAGACGGAACGTTCAAATTCAGCACTTGAACAATATCTAAGATGCTTTATTAATTGCCAACAGATGAACTGGACCGTCCTGCATACAACAATGCAGTCCATTCCAGCACGGGCTACACCCTGTTCCAAGTAGCTACAGGCCAAAGTTTCAACCCCATGCTGGAACTGAGTGCCGCCGAGCCGGCCATTCCCTCCTTGAAGGAGTGGATCGCACAATTAAAAAACACCTGGCCAGTAGTTAGAAAAGCACTAGATAAAGCTAGACAGACCTATAAAGCACAAGCAGATAAAAGTCGAACCACTATTTCTCTCTGAACTTTCTTCTCCCTAAACTGTCAGGTAGCAAAGGGGGAGGAAGAAAGAAATACAACCTCCAGAGCCTGGCTTATCTCTCCATTCTCAAGAGAAGGTGCAAAGAGTCGTCTAAACATCACTGCCACGACCAGAGCCGGCCTGATGTTATCTCCCCTTTCCCACGATGGACTTAAAACCTGGGGATTGGCTGGTTTGAACCATCTGGATGAACTATGGAGTGGGGTTTGCTTGGGGACACTTTAACCTATCGATCTGTATGGGAGCCCCTCAGATCTTGTCTAGTATTCCTGCTATCAGCTTCTCCTAATAAAAGTTTCTTTTGGAAGAACTTGCTTCCATGAGTTCTGCTTTCTTGGGATAAGGTATTGAAGTGGGTCCTGATAGAACCAAAGTCACAGTCCTACACTGATCCTGAAATAACACCAATAATCTCACCCCTAATTCATGGAAAATAAAACATGGAAAAACAAGACAAAATGCTTGCACTACCCACCACAGCTGCCTCCTGACTTCTAATTGTGTGCATTTGTGTGGTTGGATGCAAAACCATTTCAGCAGTTTCTATGTGGGAGAGCTGAAAATGGGCTACCTGCAAAGCACAGTATCCCCCCCCAACAATTCTTTTCAAACACAATGCATCTGAAGCAGAAATAAATCAGCTCAGTTCTCAAACATAGCCCAAATCATGAAATCAAACCCAGAGCTGCTTTGAAATTGGCTCAAAGTCATACCATAATATATTATTTAGAGCAACATGTTTATACTGGGTATAGCTAGGGAGGCATGTAAGTACATAGAAAAATTGATACATAAACAGCTGGGTCTTGTTCAGTGTACATAATAATTACATGGTCATTCATAACTCAAAAAGAAGGGTAGCTTTAATTGGCTGCACTTATCCAATAGTTTCTGAAATCAAAAGAGTTAAGATAGTGGATTTTATTATTAAAGTGACCAGTTTGATTTTTCTTACTCCCCCTTCAATGATGTCCTTGTCCCTGCTTCTGTATCTGTAAATGTTCACTCCACTGTTTTCTGTTTTTTATTCCACACTCATTTGGCTGAATATGCATACTGATATGCTGTATTACAAAACTAATAGAGAAAGTAAGAGGTATCATAAAATACAGCAGTATAATTTACAGCAGATCTCTGAAAATATAGCAAAGATGAGTTATAAAGGCATGGACCCAAGCCTGCATTTCTCCATCACTTCCGTGTTTCTGATTTCAATACATATTAAATTTTGCTCAAATTTTCTGAATAATGAAAGTATGAAAAATGTGACCAAACTGTATTCTATAATAAAAGATGAACCCTTTCAAATAATGTTCAACAGAGGGATACAGAATGTTACTGTGGTGCTGTAACCAAAGTTTATGCATTCTTGACATGCTCAGAATTTTCCAGCAAAGTAATATTAAAATAATTTTAGTAGGCTGCTCATAAC